AATTCACTCCCAGAAAATAATACATTGTCGTTGGAAAGGTCACGATTGAACGTCCTAATTGTTTCGTATGGAAAATGGGGAAGGTAAGCCAACGGATTTCGTAAATATGTTGACTTTACCTATTTATCTTTACACGAACAAAACTTTCAACGGGGGCGGTGGTATTGCCTTCCTAATGTCTGAAAAATCTGCTTTTTAGCCGTCAAACTCCAGGCACTCGTTTAATTACTAGTCCACTCAATCGTTCAGTTTTCGGCCATGAACCAGTGACAAAAAAGCAATGTAAATTAAAATGTGTTCCGCTAGCAATGCAACAGTACTCTTCCAAACAGAAAGTCTGATTTCACCTTCCGTAAACTACATATGCTTAAAGCACAGCTGGCAATTTTTTGTACGAGTTATGCTTTGAATCGTTGTCAAATCCTGCAGAAAAGTCTTGATTATCCATTTTGGCATGATCGTGTGGACGATTTGCACGTAAAAAGTATTCTTCTTGCTTTTTTGGCACGTGGCATTACTTCTGTGAGTAATTATCGCGACTGGGTGGGGTAAGCTCGACATTTTTTGCTAGACCGTCTTCTACTGAGCCTTCAGTTGCGACTAATACTGACGGTGACAGGGACGCCGCCAGGCATCCGAAGATGAGCTTTGAAGTTTGTTGGTTCACTGCTAAACTGCCCCGATGAAGACCTCATGCACGCTAGTCTTCAATCGAGAAAACTGCGTCGACAAAGGGCGTGTGAAATAACCATTTCTGGCTTATTTCTACCGCTAATCAGTCATAGTCCAGACGGGGGATTCTTAATGTGACTCTATGTTCTCTTACGAGCCTTGTAGAGAGATAACAAGCATTTCTAGTGGACGAATAAACATTCTCTTTGTGTTTATGTGTGTGTGTGTGTGCTTCCGATGCGTGTTTCTCCTTTCTCTTGATCTTGGTTTCTCAGAATGTAGACAACAAATTTGACTTCTGCAAGACTTTCACAGTCCGTTTATAGGGCGCCCATCCTTCAACAAGATACAGTCGAATAAATCATTATTTCTCGGG